TTCCATAGAGAATAGCTTCCTGGCAAAAGACGCTTGGTGCAACCCATAGTCAAACTGTGCGATATTCCTGGACCATCGCTCGAATATGTTCATGGCACATCAAATATCGCCACAGTTCCGGGTGAGTACTAATTGTAAGGAAGTGAGATGTAAATTTAGCAACCTATCAATTTTTAGGCTCCATAGACACTCTTTCCAGGGAGAGCAGCTCGAATGGCACCTGAATTGTGTACCCAATTGTAAAAAAATTAAAGGTACTTTTGTATTAAAATGGAAGTACTTTAATAATTTGTATTTATGTGCATAGATGATATTCTGGACAGCCCTTTTACAGCTGTCACCAGTACAAATTCTGCAAGAGCCACACAGTTCCATCTCACAGGGGTATGCAACAAGAAAACTGATTACATTTTGCAAAGAACTGAACAAAATTATAAAAAGGGCTTCTACTACTAAAAGTACAAAAGCCGGCCTTGATATCAAAATTTATTTTTTGAGTCACCCGGTAAAAGTAAAAATTGTTTCAGAAAAAGCGCAATTAAAAATGAGAGTCGACTGGTCGGTGCAATTTTTCGAAAAATATAAAAACAGCTGATTTTTAAACAATTATATGCAATAGACTTGCTTGTCACATCAATTATAAAATCTTCGAACTTGTACTTTGCACACAAAAAATACTCTTTGAGTATGTATGCATTTTCCATAAAAAAATAAGAGATTTAATACAGTTACTAGATTGAAAATTATATAAACTGAGTTATATCTATAAATACCTGTGAATTCGACTGTGAACGTTTAATCTTGAATTGTCTGGAAAAGATTTACCGCAGGTAAGGCAGGGATACGGCCTTTCGCCTACAATAAATAACACAAACCCTTTTTTACCAACAAGTATTCCTTGTCCAAATTTCCTCAAAAAATTGCGGTCGAAAACTTCAAAAGGTTTCAATTATATATTCTAATAATTATTAAAAACTGTTTACCTGTATGCGTTCTTTTATGGACAACTAAATTACTGGCTGATGCAAACCGTTTTTTACAAAATCCACAGGCAAAATTTTTTAGTCCCGAATGCATTTTCATGTGCCTGGATAAAGAAGTTGCCCCGCACAATCTACAAAAAACAGTTAACATTTAATTTAAATGCATCCTACAATACAAAGTATGCAATTTGAACAAACCTCTTTCCACATTCCGTACATTCATGTGATTTTACTTGATTATGTGTCTTATTGTGCACAAGAAGACTGGTGTATCGAGCAAATCCTTTACCACATACTGCACAAATGAAGTTTTTGACATTAGAATGTGACCTTATATGCTCCAACAATCTATATCATACATGTTCATAATTAATATGTTGCATCATGGGATGCGTAAGGATCAAAATATAAAAAATCTGTTCAAATTGTTTTTATTACAAAATACTTATTATTTTTGAAGGGCGCAGTAATATTTGTATACATTGTGTCTCGGAATATGTGGGCATGCTCTCGGATTTGTATAGGAGACGTTAAAAAAACATAACAAGTTTATATAAAAAAAAATTCCAGGCGACCGCCCTACGGAGATTCAGGAGGGCATTCTAAAGGAGCCACCTGAGAATCGATTATTTTAAAATAACTTTCAGAATTCTTCATGCAATTCAATTATTTTTTCATACAATTTACAGTACATCATTGCTCTTAAAAAAGACCCATGAAAACATTTTTAGCATTTCGGTTTGGCATGGATGGACTAGGTGGAGCACAATAGTAGTTAATTTTTTTACCCTGTCCAATGAAGGCTCGAAAATAATGTATTTAGGTTACTTTAACCTTAAACAAATAAAAATACACTCTTGATTCATATCTATAAACAGAACGCTTTTAGAGGAAAAAAATATTTTTTATTGAATACGTATTTTAATACAAGCATTGGTGGGCTCCATTGTAAACGGTAAAAAATAATTTACTATTATTGTGCTCCACTTAGTACAGCCCTGGCAAATCGAAATGCTAAAAATGCTTTTATGGGTCTTTTTTAAGAGCAATGATGTACTGTAAATTGTATGAAAAAATAATTGAATTGCATGAAGAATTCCAAAAGTTATTTTAAAAGAATCGGTTCTCAGGTGGCTCAAACTTAAAGCGCAAACAAGATGTTTTCCAGCGCGGATTTCCCTTAATGAGGCAAATGTTTGGCCTATTTCAATCGCCCTGTATATAAGCGGAAGTACAGGAAATATAAGAATAGAATATAAATTATTGTAATATACAAGTCAAGAGTATTGAATCCCTATTGAAACAAAGCCAAATGCTTCACAAAAAAAATTTCGTTACTGTTTAGCATTTTGAATTTGATAGAGCAGAAAGCGACGTACATGATATGGTAAGATGGAGAAGGCAGCGGAGAAGAGAATGGTACAACCACGTGAAGAGGATGACCGACGATAGACTACCACGCATTGTACTAGAGGGAAAACCAGTAGGGACCCGTCCACCTGGAAGACCACCAAAGAGATGGAGACAGCTGGAAGGAAACAATACCGAAGCAAGCACGGTATCAACAGATCATCTAGATCTCCAACAAGTCGAATAAGAAGAAGAAGAATTTAAGACATGTAATGTAGAGATGGAGGTCAGAAAATCAAAGAACTTTTCATGCTTAGATAAATCGATTAATACAGATGTACTACGCCTATGGCTACCGGCCATGCCAGTTGATTTTTGGGTTAATTCTACTCTGAGTCAAAATATCGATGAGTATCTACTTTTAGTACTTTCATCCCTTTCACCTGTTTTTCATTGATAAATCTCCGATCAGTAGAATTTAATGTTAGTCCCAAACAAATCGAAATTGATGAATGACTAGCTTTGTCTATTTATTATTGTCTTTGCATACGACGGTGCGACAGTCGGCAATGGAAAACTTTTTTAAACAGTGAGTTGCTCTTAGCCGTAGTTTTGTTATATGGATAATTGGAGTGACTGAATATAAACAATATAACAGCTCATGATGCAAAAATACATTCAAAGGCGAAGCTCTACTTTATCAACGTGTGTTTTATCAACTTTTTAAGATAGAATTCTTTGAAATTTATATTCTTTCATACCCATTTATACTAAAGTCAAATTAGTTTACACTAAGTTAGTCAAGTTGCGACTGAGACTGAACTCCTAAGGCTTCAGTCTCAGCTTCTCTCTACTGAAGCCTTAGGAGTTCAATCTCAGTCTACAAAGTGTACAAAGCTTCATAATTACCTGAACGATTGCGAAAATGCTTTTCCACACTTTTCACAACTGAATGGTCTGTCACCAGTATGCACTCGAATATGCCTTTTCAAATCGTCAGATCTAAAATTGTATTTGCCTTTATGATAGCCGGCGCCAATATATTGTGCTGTATCAGCTGTAATTCTTCTTTTAATGCTATTTATTATACCTTGAAAAACTTTTGCCACATTCCCTACATACACGAGTTTTCTTTTCGGGTTGATGCTTGCTGGCCATGTGCCGCGACAGTGTACTGGCACTTGAAAACATCTTGTTGCATAATTCGCATATGTTCTGTTTGCTAGTGTGTGTCCTATTATGAAGCTATAAAAATATTAGTATATTACATATTTATTGAGAATCATTAGAGAGGTTTATAAGTGATGTCGAATATATTTTATCAATCTGAGTTAGAGGAGTGCTAAACGGTTATTTTTATGAAACAGGTTACAACGTTGCAGTTTCACTTTGGTATTAGGTTCGAAAATGGTAGAAATAGGGATTACAAACCCGGACCGAAAATAAACGAAATAACTGTTCCGTTCCGGTTTCGGTCCAAGGCAAAATTTAAAATTTCGGTTTCGTTACGGTTCCGGTTTAGAAAATAATTTCCAATTTGGTTCCGTTCCGATTCCGTTTTTTTTCGGTTCATTTCGGTTCCAAAATCTGTATATAACAACGAACAATTACGTACCCTCCCCAAAAAAAAACTTATATCAAAAAACATTACATAACTTACTACTTACTTACATAACTACTTAAAGGAAAACACTGATAATAAAATCGAATGGTTTAAGTAAAATATACGCTTTGCATGCGAAAATGATCAAAAAGCTAATTTTCTTTCAAAAATTAATTACCATTTAAGAATAATTTTTAGCATGATCTCTTTATGAAGTCTAGTTCTTAATAATCTCAAAAATATTTATCAAAATCTTGAAAAATTTAATCTTCTTCTGGTCTATCTGTTAACTGAACTTCCTCTGATTGATGGGACACCAGAATTTTTGTAGTAGCATTTGAATTATTTCCAAGTGTTATTAAGCCAACAATTCAACAATTTGAAGCAAGAATCGTAATTTTTCTTTTTGAATGCTTAAGTATTCCAATATGCTACCAATTAAACATGGAACAATGAAATTCGATTTTCAACTGTTAATATCTTCTAGAAACTATCGAAAAAAAAATTTCAATATTTTTCTCGTACTCTATAAGTGAGCCTCTATTACCCCTTAAAATAAATGACGCCAATTTTGAATCACCTTGTATAAAATTGAAATAAATCTTTCTTACTTTTAAATCCGTTGGAGAAGTGAAACAAGAGAAACAACCTTTTGCCTCGCATGCAAACAAGGGCTGCATTGTTTCATCTTCAAGTGGTATATTGGACTTCTGGATATTCAGTTCCTTGATACCTCGGTTATCATTGTAATGAGAAAAATTAATTTGGTTTTCATTGAAGGTGTATGGGGAATTAATATACACTAAAATAAAGTAAGCAAAATACTATAAGGAAGTCGGTCATGATATTTCAAATATGTACCTTCTTCAAAATTATCGCTTATGTTATTGTAACTCTCATGCTGGTCGATAAGTATAACAATTTTCTTCATGGGTTGTTCCACAACTTCACTTACAGTATTGACCTCGTTTTCAAAGTTATCAGTGTCATTTTGATCATCGGTTTCTTGACCTAAGTTAGAACTGTTAAAAATATTGCTAACATCCATGGAAGGCTCTAGCGTTGAGTTCGCAGATGCAATGTGGATGTGTGGATGTCTAGACTCTAGTTTTATATTTGCGTCGGTAATAATCGTCTGCAGTAGAGAGTCTGATTTTTTACATTGCTGTAGGAAATTGTAAGTATTGAATATATTGACTTCACATTGCGAGCATACTTGTTTAGGTAAACTGTCATCTTCCAATACCTAAAAACAAACAAACATCAAATGTAAAAAATTAAACGCCACTCTAAATAATGCTGTTACTTCAGTAAGGTATTTTATCAGCTACATAGGATCATATAGAAATGTTGAAAAAGTAACTTTTCTCTATGGAACTTGGACTATTTTCCATCGCTAACTTCGATCAACGAAATTGAAAAAGTAAATATAATTCGAAGACATTTGATTTTCGAAACAACTTAACGATATGATACGATGGTGGTTTGACAAGTCAGTGCAAAGTCAGAGAGAGGTCGCCACTGGTGCCTATAGAAGTTATTTTCAGCTAGTAGCATCTCTTGAAAGAACGCACCCAGTTAAAATCACTTCCTTGAAAAGGGAGTTTTYAAAACAATTTTTATTTCGATTGATATGGATTTCAGCTTCAAGATACAACTGTTGGTTATTACASGCTTGTGAGAATATATACTAATTAAATGCTGATGAGTTTAYATGCTATCTGTRAAACTAAAGAACATTAAGTACCTCGTAAGCAWAATTAGATATTTCCTTATGCTAAGTTGCGAAATAGGATATCATGAATTTGTGAAGTWGGCTAAATAGGATATCATAACTACCCCCTAAGTTTCAGCCAGATCGGTTTATTTCTTTGTGTTGGGTCAAGTCGAGAGATTTTCAAAACATGTACGAGAAAGAATTTCGCGAACTGATTAAACATTACTTTTTAAAAGGAAAATCGCCTCAGGAGACTAAAGAGAAACTTGATAAAGATTACGGTAACTCTGCATCTTCAATTAGAACAGTTTATAAAAGGTTTAAAAATTTTCGGAATGGCCATATGGACACAAGTGACGCTGAACGTTCTGGACGACCTGTTTCTGCTACTAGTCCAGAAATCATTGATAAAATCCATGATATGGTTATGGATGAGATTACGAGAAGAGTGAAGGTGCGTGAGATTGCTAGTGCGGTACATAATATTCTGCACAAACATTTGGGTATAAAAAAGTTTTCCGCGAGATGGGTACCGCGATTGGTCACGATTGATCAAAACGAAATCGTGTGAGGTGTTGCATGGACGGCTTCCAGCTTCTGCAGCGCAATCCACAGGACTTAAAGCGTCGATTTGTAACTTTGGATGAAAGATGAGTATACCACTACACTCCTGAGACGAAAGAGCAGTCCAAACAGTGGGTTGGCAAGAGGGAATCTGCACCAAAAAGGCGAAGACAGTCACGGTTCCACAAAAAATGTCCGGTTATGGGAGGGGTCCGCATAATAGAGATATGTATTTAATTTACAAGAAAACTAGGAAACTCCTCTTCTGCCCTACATTGTCACCACACTAGGATTTTGTTCTAATATCGTCTTTTTTTTTAGTTATTTCTGCCGCTTTAGTTTTTCCGATCGTAAATCGCCTTGCTAGTTCTCGAACGGGCACTATTTCTTTATCTAAAGCAATTAATATTTCCATTTTTTATTTTAAGGAAAGCATTTTCTTTTTCGGAGCCATGTTCACAAACACTCTCTATATGTGCTCGAAACTTAATGGCACTATCCCCGATGAATAAAGCAAGTCCAGTCAAAACATCTTAAACGGAGAATTACGGAATATGTGAAATAATTCCCCGATTGAAAATCGCTTATTTATGATAATGGGTTTATTCGTAGACCTCGTTTTACAGGTTCGTGTCCGCTTGTAAGAGCTTTTCAACTCCGTATGATCATAATATCATGTCCGCGTCCGTTTAATAGAATGTCGGCTTATAAAAAAGGGTTTTACATTACATTACATACAAATTCGGGTCCAAGAAAAATGTCCTGTTAAGAGAGATGTCCGCTTATTAGAGCTGTCCGCAAGTAGAGCTTTCACTGTATATGGAAAAGGATAAAACTATTACAGATGCATACTATTCATCGTTATTGGACCGCAGGCAAACCGAGCTGCAAGAGAAACGTCCGCAATTGGCTAAGAAAAGTCTTTCTCCATCACTATAACGCACCAGCTCACACCTCAGCAGTTGTGGCTGCAAAATTGATGGAAGTAGGGTTCCAACTCGATCCACATCACCCCTATTCTCCGGTTTTAATTTTTGCACGAAAATTATAATTTGAAAACGGTTGATTTCACAGCTTAAAGTGTAAATGCAAATTTGTAACTGTAAATTTTCTATCTAATGACGTATTAATATACAGGTACTTCCATTTGAAAAATAAAGGTCATATTGCGTTCAAAAGCTTTAGATTGAAGTCCAGATTGTTAACACCCTGTATAATGTATTGATATTTTGGTTCAATATAATCCTTAACCGATCTGTGGCGATTGGAAACTTATTTTGTTGTATCCTTAACTGCTTTTTTTGCCTCTACAATGAATTTTTAGATACCATGTTTTTAAGAAAAATTTTACTAAAATGGCGATAATCTGCCGTGGCCAGCTGCCTTGACAAAATCAGCTGCCTTGACAAAAATTGACATTGACAAGGGTTTAAGGATAATGAACCCTGAATGTTGGCAACATAACATAGTTCCATTTGCGCATACCTCCATTCTTTTGCCCGTAACGTCGTTAAATGTCAAAATATTTGAAAAGTTCCAAAACCCCCAAAAAGCCCGAAGAAATAGCTATAAATATTATTCTAGTCCCATATTGGATAGCGGCAACAGCAAAGGAGTATAACGAGTTCGAACTCAGAGAGTGTGTAAACTTTTGAAAAAAAAATGTTTGGGGAGTTAATATTAGTTAAAAAAGTTGATATTTATGAAGACTTTAATGCCGAATAGACGATTTACCAAGCAAAATATTCTCAAAAATATCCCAGTGCAATTAAGGCCGAGTATATACCCGAATTTTCCAAAAAATCTATATTTTTGCCTTCAGATGAAGCTCCTTTTTTTAATTGTAGTTTTGCCCCAAGTGCAGAAAGTGCAGTGCTCTAGAAAATGTGCTTAATAAATAATAAAGTAGGAAAGTAGGAGACGTTTTGCCGTTGGTTTATCTTATCGAAATGGGTTCAATTTCAGTGGGAGAAAAGTTGTAGAAAAGAGCATTTTCTCGAAAAATCTACCTACAGGAACAAAGTTGGTTGTAGTGTGATTTTCTGATAAGGTGAACGAACTGTAAATCACGAACACAATGCCTGCGACCGCCGAATTTCATAAACCATTACCGTAATGACAAATATGTATAAACAAATTACCATTATGGAAGTACTCGCTGTAAGCATTTGAGCCAAGCTGAGCTCTTTCTGATTAATGTACTGCAAAGTAAATAAAGATGTTGCGGGCAACGCTTTATCTAAGCAGGTTCTACACATTTTAGTCAAATCCTGGGCCATTATTTAACTAGTTTGTTCACACCTCGGCACATAAATGTGTTTTGATCACATTTATTTAAGTGAACCTGTTCTCTTAGTACCACAATAACACACTGAAATCGAACATCACTCGTTAAGTTTTCAAACGCACCATACTGAAGATGAACAGCATGTTCATCAATGGTTATTATAAATCGCAATTATAAACATTGAGATGAAAGCAATGAATGGCAATGAACTAAACAAAACAAACTCCAAACTCCATAGACATATCAGAGACCACAGATGACATAGGTTATTTCAAAGGTTATGTTATGTATTTAAACTAGTTTAAGAACTAAGGCCCGCTTGCACCACTAATAAATAAGCTTGGCTTTCGGAAAGCTGAGCTGAATAGTAGAAATCGTTTGCACCATAATACAATGGAATACAAAGTTGGATATTACCAGGATTTGCGTGACGTTAGTAGAAGTCACTGTGTGTCGTGATTTTTTCCTGTCTGCTAATGTGATTAAATATCGCTTATTTAGTGTTTGTCACATTTAATTATTTTTTTATAAATCTTTTTCATAATTACAAAATGTTTTGCTGCAGGTTTTAAACTTGATGAAAAGTAACAAAAATGTATTTATTTTGTAGTCCAGCATAGTTGCCAGATGTGCAATAAAGTATAGCGTTTGCTTTTGGCACGTACCCCAAAAGTTCGAATTGCAAATTCCTTTCATCATCATTTTTGAATTGCTGAGAGCATATTTTGGCAGAGGCAAGATCAATGGCATCCGCACGACAACAAGCATTCTCGCATAGCTTGCACACTTTCTACAGTAAACTTTCCAACTACGAAACGCAAAATGGTCAGTTGTTTGTCTACCAAGCTTACAAATTAAGCTAGGCTTTAAAATAAACAGCTTGCACCGTACCAATCTGTTGTTGGCGTTGTTAAGCCGCTGTCAAGCAGATCTGTTTGGCATATGTGGAATTATGACCGTTTGCTGCCATGATACAATTAATACATGTATTCATTCTATCCATCTTTACATTAGAACTGTGGCGATTGAGAAGATCGATAAGATAAATCGAGGGATTCATCTCAGTTGTACAATTTAAGACTAAAATTTTAACGCAAGTTTTCGAAATAATTAATGACATGTTGTAGTGTAGTGTTGCGGCGATTTTGAAGATTATTTATGGTTTCCTTTTACAATAGACCAATATCAATTAAATGATCCAATTCATTTATATTTGTGGTGGTTTTGTTAAACCCAAATATTTTTTTTAAGTTAGTAGTTCCTCCAAGTCTTCCAATGAAGTATTTCTGTTATATATCGTCTTTGGAAATCCAAATTCGATTATCTCAAAGATATCTAGATCGTCTTCAAATATGTCAAAACAAGTTTCGACTAAACTATCGCCACATGTATGAGGAAGAAAAACAAAGGTTAGAATTTACGGCTTAACACCATAAGCCACCAAAGTTGACGGCTTAATTTAAGCTGAGCTTTGAATGATGTACGTCTTTTTTATAATGTGGTGCAAATCAATTTAATTTTAAAGCTTAATGGCAAAGCCAAGCTTATTTTCAACGGTGCAAACGGGCCTTAACGCTTAATCTCGATTAAAGTCTGTCGGTGCATGCGGGCATTAGACACGCTCGGTAGGAAGAACAAGAAGTAGAACACGTACTGTAAACCATAACCACGCCATAAGTCTTGTTCTATGATAACTACCTAATCAAGCATAAAAAGTATTTTGTTAGCAACAATTGTATTCAAAAATTAATACAGTTTTCGAACTTTGTGTAATATTTACTACTGGTCCGGGCTAGAATAAGCATGTAAGTATAATATCAGATCATCCATACAACAATTTGAACAAAAATAAGAACAAGTTTTGATCTATCCTGACATGTAAATTGTTATCTCTAATTCTGGATCAGCTTATTAATACTTTTTAAGAACAGCACTGCACTTCACAATGTCTGCATTGGAGTTGCTGCGCCAAGTATCACAGCTTGTATTTACTCCCAAGTGCTTTGATAACTACTTTATTGATTTCAATCTTGCTGATGGTAAGTCTGTATTAGTAAATGACTAGTTCCCCGCATAATTACTGTTTTTTGCAGTTGAGTGTTTTAAATCAACATTAAGTAAAGGCCTTGGTCTGGGCTTAATTTTGGGATCAATCCTCGTTAAACTACCCCAAATATTGAAGATTGTGAAAAATAAGAGTGGACAAGGAATATCTCTAATCGGAGTTAGTTTAGAACTTGTTGCAATTATGATTTACATGTCTTATAATTATGTAAATAGCTTTCCTTTTAATTCATGGGGCGACACTTTCTTTGTAGGTGTACAAACTCTGATTATTGCTGCTTTAGTTTTATCATATTCGGGAAAAGTAGTAGAAGGGTTGGTTTATGTAATTGTAGTTCTCTCAGGTTGTTATGTCCTGATGAGTGGAATAACTCCAATGAATTTGCTCCGGACTCTTACATCCGTCAACATTAGCTTAGTTGTGGGCAGTAAACTAACGCAAGCATATACTAACTATATGAATGGGCATACGGGACAACTTTCAGCAGTTACTCTAATTTTACTTTTAGCAGGATCGGTAGCTAGAGTATTCACATCGATCCAGGAAACTGGTGACAATATTGCCATTGCCACATACGTAGCAAGTAGTACAGTAAATGCCTTACTTGTAGGACAATTAATTTATTACTGGAATGCTGTTCAGCCTGCAAATAAATCAAAGAGCGAATGAAAATAAAAAATTGATTCATTTGCATCTGTATGCAAATAAGTTTTTTTTATAGGGACGGGTAGTAGTAAACTAAAAATTTGTTTAAAAAATCATTATATTTGCTAGTTTTATTCCATTTAATCACTTCCATAAAATATATCTACCTTGGGGATAGAATAAACGATACAACAATTTTATATTTAAGTACAACTTGCAGGCAATATAAGGGTGTTATTCTATACTCGGTACACCATAACTATGGTCGCACGTCATCAATGAACTTTTGCACTCTGGTCGTTTTTTCAAGATAATCTTAACTACTTTCGGTGAAAAACTAATTATTTGGATTTTGTGTCAAATTCGAAGCTGAAAAGAATTTTCTAAAATCCATACGAAGCGAATGAATGAGGCGAATTTTCAAACAAAATTAATTTTGTAATTTTTTGCTGAAAAGACCCCATGATTAACAGAAAATCACGGTTTTTTGCGCTTTTGAATAAAAACTTTTAATTTTGTGACTTTGGTTTTTGCAAAATCTGTGTGGTGAAATTTATTTTCGGTTTTCTCCCAAATTCGAACCTGAAAAAAGTTTTTGTAAAATTTCTACAAAGCTATAAATTTATATGGTAATTTTTCGCGTAACAAACCACCAGATTGTGAGCATTTTTAAGTAAAACTATAGAGTAAAAATAGAGCGTTTTTGAGTAGGAAGTAAACTAAGAAAGAAAAATCAGTCAAATCTATAAAACCACAGTTTTTTTAACAAACTCTATCTCGCATGGGTGTAACAAGTTTTTCCAATAATTTATTATAAACTTTCGCTTATTTTTTATCTTTGTGTGATAAAAAATTATTTGAGTTTTGTCCCAAATTCGAAGCTGGAAAGGGATTTCAAAACTTTTTACAAAGCGACAAAGGAGGCGAGTGTTCTAATAAAAATTATTTTATAGTTTTTCACGCGAATTACCTTAAGTGAAATTGGACAATTGAGCGTTTAGGAAAAAGTGTAACTTTGTTAAAACTGGAAAATTCTGAAGAAACTTTAAAAATGTTATTAATAGCCCTCAAAATAAAAAGGAAAACAACTAAAAATATGGTCGTCATTCTCCCAGCCTCGGAACTGAGTTACTGAACCGGTGCGTTGGCTTGGTGCACCAAGCCATTTGCACAGGACTGCGCCAATTCCTAAAAATTAACCAGTAGGTCTGAATAACTCTAGTAGTAGGTAGTAAGTAGGTGCTTACGAAATAGTAACTTATTCCAGTTGTACTATTTGAAATTGCGTGAGTACATTAGTGTGTCAATGGATTCCTATTAATTTTCCTAGTTTTGCAATCATTTGAGGTGCTCTGGTCAAAGATTGATCGATCAGAAATTACAGCGACAATAGAAGGTTCACGCACTTTTGTTCTTTCGATCATAAAACGTCCTGAATTCCATCTAGTTGGGCAGATTTGGATGAGCTTTTCCACTGGTCTCTCTATTTGAATCAAATGTGCGTTTAGTTGATTGGTTGAAGCAACTGACCAGTTTTGAAATTTTTTCCAGTTTTCCATAATTCCTGCACATTCTGGTAGTTTGAAGCCCAAGTTGACACTCAACTGTACATACTATCACGCTTTAGATTCCTCGCATTATCGTGGACCACAATCGTAACTTTCTCTGTGGTATTTCATTTTTCCATTATCCTTCTCGAAGTGCATCTTCCAAATTTCGGTTGTATGACTTTCAATGAATACTACTTCTGTCAGTAAATTGAAGGAGAGATGAATCAAGTCAAAATCCAAATAATGCGATATCAGTCATACGATCGCGTAGCTCTCGAAGTCCAGCAGTCGGTTGTTGGTGGCAATAAACGATGCTGAATCAAGTGTCATTTTGACTTCCTCCAGTTTATCGGTATGTACATTTTCAGTCGTGGATGAAATCGTATTTGATCGTTGCGACATATCGATTTTCTATCGTTATGACAGGGAATTTTTTATTCTGGTTCTAAAATTATTAGTAGATTTTCCAATGCGCCACCTTCAACCACTGAGATCGGCAGAAAATCTGTAACAATCATCTTATTGACAATGGCTTTTGTTACGAGTTCTTGACTCTCTTTAGAGGCATGTATATTGTTCTCTAGACCAACCAAAGTCGACTTGTCCTGAAACTTCTCCGTATCTAACCACCTGTTACGGAATAGTAAAAAACGTTTTTCGCTTAAATGTAGGTGGGTGAAACCTTTGCAATTTTTTCGAAAATTAACATTTTATTCATAAAATCTCGGGCAGTATCCATCTTTTTTTCAATTTTCATCTTTTTCGAGAAAATAGCGAAAATGTGGTTTTCAAAAAACTGCAAATATTTCGATAACCAAAAGAGCTGAACTGAATCTAATCAGTCCATTTCGTCATTTTTGAACAAAGCGTACAGATGTACAGATTTTTTCCGTCATAATACTACAGGATATGTGTCTCAACCCCAAATAAAAAAACAGTTTTTTGGTTTATCTGTGTTATTATATCTAAGTGTTTTTCCCCTGGATTTATTTTTTCGTCACTAAAGAAATCGGATGGAGATTAGTGCTGCGATGAGCTTTACATAATTTAAAGACGTGTGTAACAATTAAAATATAAATAAAACCAACATACTGTTAATATTAAAACTGTATTAATATATCATAGTTATTATTAATGTATTTACAAATACACAAAACCAATTCTTAATAGACGATTGTGTAGCATAACACATTTCCTAACTTATATGGTGATCAGTTTAAAGAGCTGGGACGGCACCTATCTAGCAGCAGTCATTAAATGATTACATGATATTATAAAGAATAATAATTTATGCCAGGATTATAGGAAGTGACGCACATTACGATTACAAGTAAAGTTTATCTTATATTTCAAATACCCAATTCCATCTATTACCGAATTAAGAAAAATGTCCTTTTATTATTATTTGTTAGATCACCCTGGAATAAATCAAACATCATGCCAGGAACCATAAAATGTTTTGTTCTGAAAGGTCATAATTTAGTCTGTATAAATCTACTATCTGTAAAGTAAGGATTTTTAGTGCCGAAACCAATTAACTAACTTTATACACATTTCTTTGTTTTATCACAGTACAAAACTTTATACATATTTTAGGATATTCGCTCATTTTAAGTTCAATTCTATATATTTTTGCTTTGCAAAACTATTCGTGCATTTAGCAATGTCAAAAATGCGTATAAAAATTTACAGATCGTTCATTCTCTAAAAGTTCTATTTAAAAGTAAATATATGAATAGTCATGTTAAAAATCTACAGTCTTGAAAGGCCACTCTCTTAGAATATCGAAGCTTACAATAAATTATAGTCCTCCTTACTAACAGGATAATAATATGGATACATAAAATATTCTAAGTTTATATATATATATATATATTTATTTTGATCGCGCTTTTATCACTATTTACTAATTGTCATGTGGAAGTTATAGTGAAATAAGCTCACATAGCACAACTACCTCATAATTGGGGCTCAAGAAATTTTCCAATTTATTCACAGGCACTTGAAAGCTCACCAAGCATATGTTTATGTAGCAAAAGTTCTCTAGTTTATAATACTAAATAAATTATCAGATATCTCGTAAAAGGCTACATACAACTAAACTTTGGCCTGTATATGAAATGTACCCCGTCTCGCTTTATGTAAATTGTAGCAGCATTATTGAACATTATTGAACAAAACGTCACAATCTATTTAATTTAACTTAGAGCAAAAGCAAGGCACACAGTAAATTCTATTACCGTTTAACAGATATTCCTTATTTCCTAAGAATGTGTGCCTTATATTAAAAACGTGAGTTGATAAGAAATTGGACCAATAGTAAATTAATGGAATACATTTAAAGCTTACATTGCGCCGATTCAATCCTTTAAATGTATAGAGTAGGTAAATCAAAATCGGCAAAAACTATATTTTATGTTACAAACTAAATAAGTTCTGCAGGCACAGCAAGCATAAAATGAAATCTAAATCCAGCCTACACAAAAACAATAAATCAATCAACCACGGCAAACCATCTATGCATTTTTGGTATCTTTTGTACCAAACTTTATATAAAGCGGAAAACAAGTTCAACACTGAACACTGAAAAGCTTTCGGCATCGTCATGAGCTTTTGAAATAGGTAAATATGAAATTACTAGCCGAAAAAAAGCGCACCTCGAAATATGAATTTCGAGGTGCGTTAACCTCAGGCACCCCCAGGACCGGTTTCGAGCCTATTAGCTCTCATCGGCTGGGTTCAGCCTGAACTTAGCGATCCCGAAACTTGCACTTTATCTTGCCAATGCCTATTTCAAGTTTAACACTATTTGGACACTCTTTTCAGGTTTTAACATATTCCAAATATTACAAGTCATTGCCATAAAATTATGTTTCAAAGATAAATATATGTAGAGATTTAGGTGTTTATCGAAGAAATAGCGACTCCATTAATTATAATATAGAACCTGTTAATTAATTATAATAATTTAATTCCAAATGCAAAATGAACTTTCCATCAGGAGGCAAAAATGTTAACTATGCAAAATAACGAAAACTTCTATTACCTATTTGTGAAAACTAAATACACCCAAATGCCATTTATACTTAATAACTAACAAAAATATCAATTTTTTTCCGGACATTTTTACAATACAACATTTACGTTCTCAATAAAATGCAGGAACATTTAAAATACAACGGCTAATAAAATTATTGAAATCGAATAGTTTAGCCAAAGAGTAATATGAGGTCGTACAAGGCAAAAAACGTTCGATATTTGCCGCCGGGTTTCTGTCACCTCGTCCCTTTAAATTGAAAGTTCGGAAAACATTTAAGATTACTGCCGAAGTTCAATAAGAGAAACCCCGCATGAACTCCAAATGTAATGTTTCGCATGTTTTCCAAATTTTATGAATGTGTAGTGTACACTTATGCGTTAATGTAATAGTGCGTTATGTAGTAGACTTTTCTTAATGAATTTACCTTTTTTAATCTTGAGACCGGCAAAAATGCTTCCAAAAATTGTTTTGAAATTACTTTTATACAAACAGTATGTGCCATTCTTGGGTTTACAACGCTCGTTTATGTCTTATATATACGTGTTTCTTGATCTTGTGGGATGCACTTTGCACTTTTAATAATGGTTCGTTTCTCGTTGATGGAATGAATCATCTAGCATCAATATTTGGCTATCTTACTAATTTGAAATAATTTAATGAGAATTTCGTATTTAAATTTTAAAATCATATTGTTCCGCGATTTTTTTCGGTGGCCCTTTAAATCCGCAATTTCCTCACTTTTGCCTAAATTTGTTTGCCTTGTCTAAGTGCAACCTCTTGTTAGTCGTGTTTAGCTGTACTAACAGAATATCAGCAAATGAGGACAGCTCTACGAAAGACAGTGAACGCTTTCACGGCCCGTCAAATCACATTTAGAAATGTTCGCCATGTTGAAGCCATGGACCACGAAGCCCAAAAAACATTTCTAAATGTGAGCTCTATGAAAGTTTGCACACTATGTACGAACTTGTTTAAATAAGGCACGAAAGACGCGCTTCGTCTCACAATGTTTCTCGAGTTGAAGCTGGGCAGTGCGTTTAACTTTCAACGCACATCCAAGAACCGGCATTTTTTTTTCCAAGAAACCCCGTTTAAAGTGCAGACTTGCAATATGTGCCTGATGAAAATTAACAGGTTCGGACCGGTCTTGGGGCTGATTGCTATTGCTATGACCAGAAAAGAGAAATATTTGTTTGAACAAGTTCCCAGTAGATATCGAATCAACTTGATATTCTTTGTATGACGACTGTGCAGGTGGAAGGAAAAGTGAGTTCTGAAATTCACGTAAATTTAGCCGATGAATTTAAAAATTATATTTAAATTTCATGTTTTGCAGATAAATTACTTTTACATATCCCTACATGTTAACGTTTTGATTATTAAAACAAGTTTAACACAGGTCACGTATTACCAGCTTATTATGATTAAAAATAATATAATTAATAGCGCCTAAAATAATGTCTTCTGGATTTCCGGAATCAAGCCTGGTTATTGGTTGAAATAAATAATTGGATTCTCGTAGTGCAGTTGCGTAGGTCCTGATTCTTATAAAAACGGGTTGTTGATGTTCATTGAAGAGGAAACCGTTCCAAGCTGAAAACGTAAAATTAACTTTTAATAATGTTAAAACTCGAGTGATTGTTTCAAACCACTTACTAATAACCACTAAAAAATTGTAGAAGAGAACTGTTTTAATACCAAAAATTTTCGTAATTTGAAGCAAATATCGTATTTTTTCTTTGCGAATGGTTAAGTATTCCAATATGCTGCCAACTAAACATTTGACAATTTCTAAACAATGTTTAATAACAAAGTTGAAATTCAATTTTCAACTGATAATATGGTTTTCAATATTTTTCTCGTACTCTCCAAGTGATCTCCTATAACCCCTTAAAAGGAATAATTTTGAATCGCCCTGTATTTTTATCGTGAGATTGGGACATATGTAAAAACGTTGCTGAATTAGAAACCGTTGTCAAACTAATCCCCACGATCACCAGTTTTACTTCCTATGGATTTTTCTGATAGGAATATGTAAAAAGAAGCTTTTGAGAAGTTTATACTTGCATACTTGGGCTTATGCACCGTCATGCGGAATAGTGCCAACTCGATCAAGAAAAAGAATGCTTCAAGCAAAGGGTGTCCCAAACTTAGCGCAAGGTTTGAATTTGCCGCAATCTGTGCAGTACAGTGTTGGCAACCACCCCAAACAAAAATTTGACAGCTGAGGTTGGGGGGTTAGTAAAAATGGAGCGTTACACAATAGAACGCATGTTCAATATTAAAGAATATCTATAAAATAATGAAAGTTTGTCAGCCGCAGTTCGAAAATTTCATACAAAATATGGGCGGAATAGTGTTTTAACTTCAACTTAACGTCAACTGTTAAGAGATTAAATTAAAAATTCAAGGAGAATCGATCAGTTGGAGACGATCATCTGCCGACGACACACTGCCATCTACGTCCACGTATCAGAAATAGCCATAATTTTATTTTGTCTTAAAGCATTGTCAATTGTCATTACTACTAGAAATGTCTGAATTTTACTAACTTGAACCGGAAAAAAGAAAGAATTTGCGTGTCAAAGTCTAAGGAACGCTAAATGCAATTCCATCGTATTTACAACTGTGTGAATTTGCCCAATATACAATTGCTAGTTTTTCGGATAGAAATTGTGAAAAAAGCGCTGTAATAATGGAATGGCAAGTTAAGGGTACGTATTTTTATAATAACGATTGTAAATTCGCATGTAATGAATGCATCCTATATTTTTTTCGAGTATCCTCTACCAACTTTTTTTTGCTTAGTTTATTTTAATGGTGAAAACATGGTAGCTTTTAAATACTTTACCCCCGCGTTACCCCTCATATTATATGCCTTCAAAAAATATTTGACATTTCTACTTTAAGATTGAATAAGAGATAATGTCGCCGAATGTGCATAAAAATATATTTTATTATCCCCCTTGGTTGTCAGGTTGGAGTAGCCCATTGGTTGTCACTGCCGCTCCTAAACACGGGAAAAGGAGGAAGGTTAGGCGTGGGGCTAACAACCCCACCCTGTAAAAAGACACCTGCTACGAAACTTGAGAAGCCTCGGTACTGGACAGAACTACGGAAACGACCAAAGCAATGTCATAAAGATGTGAATATAGGGACATGAAATATCCTCAGTTGGAACAGGCCGGGAGCCTCTCTCAACGCTATACGCGAACTAGAAAAATATAAAATCGACATGGCACCATAATAGCATTCCACCCTATAAACGAGATAATAAGCATATTATCTATGCAGCAGCATTAGAATACGTAGTAAGTGGTACAACGTATCTCATATATCAGTGCACGCTCGTACCGCAGACTACGATGAGGTAAATATAGATACCTTCTATGATACCCTAGAACAAGTACTAAATAGAATACCCAAGCAAGATATGAGAATAATTCTCGGGGACTACAATGCCAAAATTGGAAAAGAGGAGTCGGCGCAACCCTATATCGGAGAATTCAGCCTATACAATATGTTTAATGATAATGGTTTAACAGTTATTGATTTTGCAACATCAAACAACTTATTGGTTGAATGAACAAGATTCCCACACAAGAACATCCCCAAGCAGACCTGGATCTCCAACGATGGAGCAACAAGAAATCAAATAGATCATGTTTGGATAGACGCGAGACATAGCAGTAATACTCTGGGTGTAAAAAGTTGCAGAGGTGCAGATGGACACTCGGACCCTATTTTAGTAAGAGCAAAAACAAGAATACGTACATCAGCTCGCAAAGGAAAGAACCACAGCAGCGAGATGTCGTGTGAAATAGAAAAATTAAATGAACCTGAAATAAAACAGCTTTACCAGAATAAAATGGAGCAAATATGCGTGAGACCAACAGAAGATACAGAAAATGAACACATATGGAAACAAATAAGGGCAGGTATATCTGACGTCAACGATAGAGTGCTAGGACCAAGACCGAAACCAAAAGTAAACCGTTGGTACGATGCCGACTGCGAAAAGCTAAATAAACAAAAAACCAGAGCTATACTCCAAATGATCCAAAATCCTTCAAACCACAACCTTCCTACATACAATAACATCAGAAGTAGGATGAGGAAAACTATCAGAAAGAACAAACGACCAGCTCAAAACGAAAAATTCACAGAACTAGACCGTAACAGACAGCAAGGTAATATAAGACAATTCTACAACGAGATCGGCAACTCAAAGAAAAGATTTAGGCCAAGGGCCCTAACGATAATTAAAAAACGGCAGTGGGGATTTGATACGTGCCGAATCGGAAATACTGCAAGCCTGGAAGGAACATTTTAGCACATTCCTCAATCGGTCAGACGGCCAGCTGTTGGCAGCTGAGGGAGTTGCACGGGAGATCACTTCGCCCACTGCCTCATCGCTTTTGAAAATGTCCACCGCAGTTGTGGACGAAACGTCAGGAAGAAATTCCGATAGACCACGGCTTCAAAGCCCGGAAAACATTTATAAATATAATCTGACCGGCCGTGAAAGCCTTCATAGTCTGAAAAATTTAAAGTTGTCCACATTCACCGTTTGGCCAGATATAACGATGATCCAGGAGTTACCTAATCGGGGCGATCAGGGTTTAGAAGGGGGGCAGTGTAACGGAAATGGCCTGGGGTACTCACGTTTGGAATGGGGGATCGAAATTCATGGTATTTCAGTAAATGGGAGCCCCATTTGGGCCCCATTTACTGTCAAATATGACACT